GGAGGTTGGCCGGCAGGCACCGCCCCCTATTGGGGTAGGGGGTGGCAATCAGGGGTGGGGCCGGCTGTGGGGTGGGGCTGCAGGCTAATCGAGGTGGTGGGGACCCATCAGGGGTGGGGCCAGCCAGGGGAAGGGGCTGCAGGAGGTTGGACAGCCGGCCTTGCCCCCTGATCGGGCCGGTTCGCTGGCCACATTGGGCCTCATAGCGACCAGTTGTTCTGGTCATTACGGCATTATGGTTGCTGGCTTTTTTAATATATATATACATATACATATACATATGTATATGTATATGTATATATATATACACACACACACACACACATTTACATATATATGTATATGTATATGTATACTAGTAACCCTGCACACGAATCCGTGCACCAGTAGCTCTCTGCGGGGCCTGGCCACTCAGCGCCCACTGCCCAGAGGCTCTGCGCGGCCCAGAGGCCCATCTGCAGCCAGGCACAAAATGCTTGCAAGCATTACCCTCCCCCCTGCCTCAGCCGCTCCGTGCCTGCTGCCCAGAGGCCCTCCGTGGCCGGGGTGGAACGCTTGCCTCATCGCCGTGGCAATGAAGCAAGCATTCCGCCAGGCCACTCACACTGCCCGCTCTCAGTGGCCGCCCCCCACCCCCCGGCACTGGGGCTGAGAGGACTGGACGCCACCATCTTTTGTGATGGAGTGACAGTTAATTTGCATATTACCCTTTTATTAGATAGGATATATATTTTTTATTATTGATTTCAGAGAGAAAGAGAGAGGGACAGAGAGACAGAAACATCAATGATGAGAGAGAATCACTGATCAGCCACCTTCTCCACATCCCCCACTGAGGATCAAGCCCACAACCTGGGCATGTGCCCTTGACCGGAATCAAACCCAGGACTTTTTAGTCCACAGGTCGACACTCTATCCACTGAGCCAAACCAGCTAGGGTCTGGGGTCTATTTTTCTTTTGAAGGATAATATGAATATTTAATGACAAAGAAATAAATACCTATTAGTTAGACCTTCACAATATTCTTCCTACATAATGAACATTAAGATAGTATGTTTAAAGATAGTTCAATTATTGGCTTTATAATATTTTGATATTTGAAGTAGGAAAAAGAGGAACTTGGCCAACAAATCTTTTCATGTTGCATGTATTTAACATTTCTTTCTTTTACTCTATTACCTCTAATTTTCTGCAGAGTCACAATAAGCTAAACTATATTACGAAAAAAACACCTGATTTGGTTTTAATTTAATTAGCAAAAATTCACATTCCGTAAATGGACTTTGAATTATTAAATGACCACGTGAGTCTGCCTCATGGACCCTCCCTTCTGTACAGAATCCAGATGACCAGATACTGCTGACATCTTCATGGATATCCTTGACATAGGCCACAACCAGAAATCAGACTTTGAAGAATTCTTTCTGATGGTATTCAAGTTGGCTGAAGCCTACTATGACCCTAAATGAGACGAATTTCCAAGCATCAGACCAAAGCAGAAAAAGAAGGGACACCTAAAGAAACACGGAGAACATGACAAAAAGGAAAATAGGAGGAAGACAAAGAGGAGGAAGATAGAGAGGGAAAGTCCAGGCGTTCAGAGTGATGGGAGGGGAAAAGCAAGAGCCAAGGGCCCAAAAGGAAGAGGGAAAAGGCCTGCGTCTAGCTCTGAAAGAAAAAGGGAAAAGGTGATACATCTACTTGTAGACATAGAGACACATATGGGGAAAATCACAACAAAAGGGGAAAAGAGAAAAGTAGGTCAAATTCTACTGAGGTAGAAGGAGGCAGGCAACAGTCAAGTGTTAGCCCAATCAGGGGAAATAGAGGCAAAGATGATGAAATTAGTTATGAAAACACAGGAATATGGTGTGCAAACTTGAAAAAAACAAGACACAGTGACTCATATGCACATGAAAAAAAATACAGGAAAAAGGACAATCAATTGGGGAAAAAAAATACTTATAATTTCAGAGTTAAATTCAACAGAAGAAAGTTGAACAACAGAGAGATATACAGGTCAGAACAACAAAAAGTCACAAAAGAAGGATGAAATTACACCGCTAATGACAAAACAGCCAGAAACCTAGGGTCCAGCACTAATCAAAACAGTGATAGCGAAGGACACTCGGAAGATTCAGAGACATAATCAGGGCCTGCGTCAGGAGACCACCATGGGGCTGCCTATGGCCAGTCAGGAGCTAGCTCTGGACAATCTGGGTCCCATCGAGGGCAGACAGCCCGGCATGGGCCATCTGAGTCTGTCCATGGACATTCAGACTCAAGTGGGAATAGAACACGGGGATCTGGCGTGGGCGGATCAGACAGCTCTAGACAATCGGGCTCTCATCGGGCAGATGACACCACGTGTCATCCCAGGGGCAGTCAGGATCGAGCTCAAGAGGAAGACAAGCATCCCGGAATGAGCAGTCACCTGACAGCCTGGCACTTGGGCACTGGACATGGACCATCTTCTGGATCCAGGACAACCGGACATGGGGGGTCCAGGAGCAGTCAGGCCAGCGACAGCAAAGGACAGTCTGAAGATTCATGTAGACAATAGTCTCCACCTCCCGTCAGGGCCCTGACACAGAGGGGGGCCTCGGCGCCGCAGGTCTTGGCGCTGGGCCTCCGAAGGCCTGGGTGGTGGGCGCTCTCAGCAGCCGCTCGGTGCCGTGGAGGGCGTGCCTTGATGAGATGAGGCCCAGAGCTCTCCTCTCCACCCTGTGCCCCTCGAGGTCGATTTTGATCATCAGTTTATTTGCTTCATTAGATTCCACATATGAGTGAGACCATGTGATACTTGTCTTCTCTGACTGGCCTATTTCACTCAGTGTAATGCTCTCCAGGTCCCTCCTTGCTGTGGGAATGGTAAGAGTTCTTTCTTTTTTACTGCAGCGTAGCATTCCATTGTGTAGATGTACCACAGTTTTCTAATCCACTCATCTGCTGATGGGCACTTAGGTTGTTTCCAAATCTTAGCAATTGTATATTGTGCTGCTATGAACATAGGGGTGCATATATCCTTTCTGATTGGTGTTTCTGATTTCTTGGGATATATTCCTAGAAGTGGGATCACAGGGTCAAATGGGAGATCCATTTTTAGTTTTTTGAGGAAACTCCATACTGTTTTCCACAGTGGCTGCACCAGTCTGCATTCCCACCAGCAGTGCACGAGGGTTCCTTTTCCTCCACATCCTCACCAGCACTTGTTGGTTTATTGGTGGATGGTAGCCTTCTGACAGGTGTGAGGTATGATATCTCAATGTCGTTTTGATTTGCATCTCTCAGATGATTAGTGACTTGGAGCATTTTTTCAGTTGACTCTTGGTCATCTTTCCTGTTTCGCTGCCATTTTAGAACACCTGAGTGAAGAACACACTGATCGCCACACTAACAGAAATCCTGAGAGCTGCTGTCAACATTCAAAATCAGGACAAATGCCCAGAAATAGGAGCTGGGCTCCCCTCCTGAGCAAGCCAGGGAGAGGCCAATCCTGGTCTCTGCAACCTCTCATCTCAGGCCGGGGCAGGAGGAAGTCCAGCTCTGGGCTCCCAGCAGCCTCTGCCCCTCAGGCCTGCACATCCCACCCCTGCCCGGACTGCTGCCCAACGCAGCCCCTGCGGACCTGCCTTCGGAGAGGCTTCCCATCAAAGCTCCAGCGAAACCCTCCCTCCAAGGGCCTTG